TAGTGTGCTTGCAACTCCCAGCCCTGGGTTGCCAGCGCAATCGCATTGCTTTCAAAGAGCAATCAGCTTACTCTCTTGCAATCCCTTCCTCTCCAATCTCTCTGCTCTACAAGAGGGGAAAACAAAAAACCACAGGTCAGGCACAAGACAACATGTACTAACTGTAATGGTGATCACGTGTTTGAGGGACACTGGGAAGGTGGTAAATGGTCATAAATTGGCCATAATTTTTTCAGCACCATCATAACTTTGAATGGTCGCTGAACAAGTGGTCAGTAAGTGAGGACTACCTATATTGCATAACAAAATGTACATCTGGAAATTCTGCATAACTCAGTGAACCAATATTTTCCAAATGACTAATGCATGATAATTACAAAATCATGCATGGAAAAAAACCCATTCAAAATGCAAGAGAGACCAATGGATTTTAATGTAACACAGTACAAAAGGTTCATTGATATGGATTCCCATTCCACATTGCAACTAACCTTTAAGAAACCACCACTTTTCAAGTTTTGATATTTGGTGTTTTCAAGAATATCCACAATTATGTGAAAAGACTGTTAAAATACTCCCTTTTCCAATTACTGTATGTCTCTGTGTGTGGCTGAATTTTCATCATATACCTCAGCCAAAACAACATACTGCAACAGATTGAATGCAGAAATAGATATGAGAATTCAGTGATCAACTATTAAGCCAGACATTAAACAGATTTGCAAAAATGTAAAACTGCCATTCTTCTCATTATTTTTTGGAAAATATGGTTATTTTTCATAAAAATATGTCATTTACGTTATAAGGTAATGGGTTTACAGGTAGTCCTCGACTTAAGACTACAATTGGGACCAGAATTTCCATCACTAAGTGATGCAGCCATAAAGCATGATGTTACATGACCACATTGCTTAGCAATGGCAATCCTGGGCAGTCCCGGTTGCCATCATAACCCCAAGACACATGGGCTGCTAAGCGGGAAGAGGCGAGAGTCCCAGGTAAGGATCACAGGGGTGCTGCAGGGGGGTGGGGAAGGCCTGGGAGGACCAGCGCAGGCTGTGCACGAGTTGGTGGAAGGGAGTACTGCAATGTGAGCTCAGGAAGACTGGGGAAGGAATACACTATGGCTCAGGGCCTTCTTGGCGCACCGTGGTTCTGGGGCTGCAAAAAGCCCCTGAGCCACAGTGCTAAGCCCAGCCCCAACCCAGCCCAGCCCAGCAGCAGTGGGAAAGAATATGGTGCGGCTCAGGGGCTTTTTGCACTCCAGAGCCATGGTGTGCCAGGAAGCCTCTCGGTGCCACGCTGCTAAGCCGGGCTGGGACTGGGTTTCACATTGTGTTGCGGCTCAGGGGCTTTTTGCAGCCCCAGAGCTGCAATGCACCAAAAGCAAAGAAAATACACAGCATATTCTTTCCCAAAGCAAAGAGGCTTCCCAGTGCACTGCAGCTCTGGAGCTGCAAAAAGTTCATGAGCCGCAGCACAGTGTAAAGCCCAGACCCAGCTCAACCCAGCAGCATGGTGCAAAGCCGCCTCACCCTGGAAAGACCCAGCCACCCGAGCCCAGTCCCAGTCGCCCTTGCCATCTGCACTCCAAGGCCCCTGCCGCCCTGCACTTTGCCACCCCAGCTGACCTTTGCCGTCTTCTTCCTCCCACTGCTGCTGAGGTGTGCCCACCTTGGCCCATGTGAGGCCAACTTCCCCAGATCTCATGAGGAAACTGCCATGTGCGACCTTGGGAATAAAGCCTTGTGTGGTCAGCAGCTGCCTCACGAAGGGCCAGGCCTGGCATGCTTAGTCAGCAGCAGGAGCAAGAAGACGGCAAAGGTCAGCTAGGGCAGCAGGGGCGGTGGAGCAGAGAGCCAAAAGGGTGTAGGTGGGGGGGGAGAGGGGGGAGTTTAAGTGCCCCTACGGTCGTACATGCAGGTGGGCTGCCAAGTGCCCAAATTTTGTTCATGAGACCGTGGGGGCGCTGCAACAGCCGTAATTTCAGGGACCAGTCGTAAGTCCCTTCGTTCAGCACTGCCGTAACTTCAAAGGTTGCTGAACGAATGGTCATAACTCAAGGACTACCTGTATTGTTATTTTTAAATGAATTAATAAATATTTTAAGAATATCTGTTTTAATTTCTAGGATAAATATCAGTAGATATAACCTTCATAAACAAAAGCTCTTTGGGGTTCTCAGTAATTTTTATAAACACTAAGAAATCCTGAGACCAAAAAGTTTCAGAACTGTTATTCTACAATATCACCAAACTATACAAAAACTCCTCAGGGTTGCAACCAAGGAGCAGAGAAGCAACTTAAGTCATGCATTGCATGACTTAAGGCTATGTCTGAATATCCTCTTCTCTGGTGTAGAGGCTGTAACGGTGACACTGCTTTAGCTGGGCTTGGCCAGAAACTGCAACAAAGCCTCCCAATCCTTTTGAGGAGCACAAGAAGCTGGCAGGTAAAGCCACTAGAAGGGGCACAGTTGACTCAGCTAATTTTTGTGGGTGGAGGTTTAAGTCTCATTCATTCCCATCTTTTAAATCCCTAAGCAAACAGGCAAAAAACTGAAACTGCAATGCCAAATTTCAACAGCACGATCTTTGAACAATGGGGAGCTAAATGTAGCCCATGGGTAGCATGCTACCAACATAAATACTGGGCTACCAGGCATATTGTGTCTACATGCAACTTAGTATTGCTCTTGTATCAAACTTTGGATTGGATGCACAAGATAGTCCACTGTAAAACACAGAATAAAGTTCAGGGTATGTTGCTCAGTCTCTATTCCGCATTACAAAGCCCTAAAAGAGTGGCAAGGTAGCTGTTTTCTTCTTTTCCTCCTCCACTCTCCATCACCAACAGAAAAGGGTCCCATACCTTGAGCAAAGGCATCATGTACCCAACTGGCACCCACATTGGGAGCCCCATCGTTCAGCACAACATCCACTTTCCATGTCTTCAGCTCCTTGCGCAAGGCCTGGGGAGAAAGACAGTTCAAGTAACCTCATAGGAATGAGTAAATCCTACAGCTCTGTGTTAAGATACCTCTGATAACATCAGTGGTAAACCACTACCACCTTGTGGCAGGTGAAGACAATGCAAGGGAGAGAGGAGATCTTTTAGCCTGCTTTTAAAATTAATATTTAAAATTTTCTTCTGAGGTCTTAGATTATACAGTTTTTACAGTACTAATATTTTAACAACATAAAGTCTACTAGGATTTTGTTTTCTTGCTTATTGGTTACATGCCATCAAGTCTATGGAAGAGAAGCTGCTTAGAAAAATTGCAGGCACCTGTGCTGCCTTCTTCCCCTCCAATCTGAACCTTTTCCCTGGCTTCAGCACGGCAGACTTGCTAATAAAGCTGCAACCTTGGAACAGGTGTGGGAAGAGAAGTGTGTTTTGAAGCTCTGCAGCCACTGGCAAACAGAGTAAAGCAGCTGAATGAAGGAGCGAGCTTTTCCTTCAAAGGGAGTAGATGGTCCAGAGGAAAAAGAAGTATACAGGAACAGCAAGGCAAAGCACAATGTGGAAAGGTTCAAGTACTCTACATGCTGGCCAGAAACACAGAAGAAAAAAGCAGAAGAAAGCCCAGAGAGAGGAATTAAGGCAGAATAGGATTTGTGAGAAGAAAACATTGCTATATAACGGTAATACTATAGAGTGTAGCATAGTAATATAGAAATGTGCATGCTTCTATTTCTTCTATCCTCTATCACCTATTCTATATTCTATTGCTATTAATACAGTAGAATAGAGAATAGAGGAAATAGAAGCACTCACATTTAGATTTGTAAGTTTCACATTTCACTTTTGTATCTTGCTCCCCCCCCCCCAAAATAAAACATCTCTCCAACCCTTATAGGGAACTATAAAAAAACACCTATCCAGGGTCCAGTGCTTTTGTGGGTCTTTTGAGTCTGGTTCAATCTAATTGGATACAGTTTAAAAAAGAACCTATTGCAAAATCATTTTTGACTCCTAGCGACCACACAGATTTTCTCCGTGACAATGCTTGTTTGATGAAAACCTGTAAATAAAGCTGGCGAGTGCAGGGGAAGCAGAAGCCAAAACTAGCAGCTGTTTAGGCAGCTGCATCTGGGAACCGTACAAAATAATTACCTGGCGACACTTCTCAGTGGTGATGTCTTCCTGCAGCGTTACCACATTAGGAATGGGCTTGATGGGAACCAGATCAACCCCTAAAGATGAGAAGAAGGGAGAAAAGAGATAAAGCAGCAAAAAAGACAAAGCAAAACCACCAAAGCTGTCATTTCCCTGTCCTCTTCCTGAAATCCACCCTGCTACTTTTGATTTGGTCACATGTCCTTGTAATGTTTTAAATGTTATGTAGCACCTTGAGTTTTATTTTGTTTTTAATTTATACATCGAAATAATAGTAATAATAAGACCACCATCAGTGCATGCAGATCTCTGCTGTTTACTATGGTTGGCAGTGGTTCTCAGGATTCCTGCCAAAGTCTTTCTAACTCTGTTTCCTGAAACTTAAAGCGAGCACCAAGCTGCACTTTATTTACAGTATTACCCACAAAATACTATGCTGCTTTGGGAGCTTTATTTTTGTCTACTCAGCATAAACACATAATTCCTGTTCTGGCTTGTTCCAAAGAGAGTTAAGCCAATAAATGTTGTCCAAATTTCCTGGCTATTATTACATTAAGAGACTGTATGAAGTACACAAGATACTAGACATCGGTGACAACAACCAGTGTCCCACAGAACCCATGCAACCCCCACATTTTGGATTCCCTCAAGGTTGTCTTGCTAAAATTTGGCTGTAGTCACTGATTTTTGGCAATACCTTTAAAAAAAAGCACACACAAACTGGCTTAAAACAAGTGCATTAACTTACTGCTAGGCTTAATGCATCAAATTTAAGTTGACCTTTCCCTCACATGCTAACTCCTCCCACAAAAATGAACTGAACTTTTTAGTCTCGCCCCTAACCCTCTGGGGATGTCACCACATTGTACCATTGCTCCCTATGGCTGCAGCAATCAGATTATGTTTTAAGTATGGATCCTTCAGCTACAGATTTGCCCACCCTCAGTGTTTTGAATGTTCTAAAATGCTATATCACTATCCTTCTTTGCACATAATCATGATATTCTTCTTCTTGCTTTTGCTGCACTTCTGCTTGTTAGCATGCCAGTGGAAACCAACTCATTGGCACTGGCACTGGGACTCATGTCTTCATTCTGGTGGAGGCATCTGTGGATCATGGCAGAAAACACAAAACCCGAAGCCACTGGTTCTTTTATTTTTTTGCTCCAGATCACGCCTCCATCCAGGTTACTCACCAATAATAAGACTGGACACCGGCATAAATTTTGAGGCAACCTGCAGCCTGCAGACAGAACAAACAGAATCAGATGCAGATATCAGTCAACAATATTGGAAAAGTGAGAATGAATTTACCACTTGTTGTAAGTAACAACAGATTTTTATCATATGAAATCCAAAATCATCTAGTCTCATTCCAGAACAGATTCTTTAAATGTCAACAGAACAACATGCAACTACTGCTTAAAGTGAATGAGCTGTGGTCTATGAAATTCTTAATTCAAATCTCACTACAAATGTTATTAGACAAATTATACTACACTACCCCATCTCCATATTTGTAATACAGAAATTTAAATTATGGCCTATTTTATGGATCTGTTTTAAGAATATCTTAAAAATCTTTGCAAACCAGAGGCCACAGGCAAATTAATGTTTTATATTGAAAGGGCAGAATCAGAGAAAATCTGAACCTTTCTTTTCAACGAAGCATGGACCAATGAAACACTAAAACCTGGAAATGCTCAGAACACAGTGGAGATTATATGCCAAATTAGATTTCACTTATAAAGAAAGGAAATAGTTTTCTAATCAGAACTCATTATGGTGTGGATAAAATGCAAAGGAAGAATTTTTCTTCCCCTCTCATACAAGAAGCATCCAGGATCAGTTAACGAAAATAAATGCTTTTTTTCTACACTTAGTTAAAATATGGAAATGATGATCACAAAAGGGAATAATGGGCACCAACTCAAGAACGTTTGAAAACGGCATTAAAAAAATCCATGGAGGACCATAAAGCTATTAAAGGCTGTGTGTTGCCTCCAAAATCAGAGGCACTATGTCCCTGAATGCCAGTTGCAGCAGCATGAGCAGAAAGTGTCACCGTATTCATACTGGCTTCCCAAAAGCACCTGCTGGCTGCTCTGCAGAGACAAGCTAGATTTATGTTTGGTTTGATCTGGCATATCACCTCATATATTCTTAAAACATGAAAAATTAACCAGAGCCCTAATATTTAATAACCTAAAATCTTGGAAATCTTCCCAAAGTGTTAATTGTATATGTTTGAAGGATCCGTTTTTCCCAATTATTGGATCCATATTTAATCATATTTATAGTACTGTACCTCCACTGGAATCAACATTTCTTTTATCATGATTAATTTATGTCTCACTAATTTCAATAGTTGTATTCTAAATAAGACTAAATCTAGAACCAACCTTCCCTCTTTCTCTGTCTATATTTGTGTAAGATATGTTAGCAATTGTGATTACAGTGGAACCTCGGTTTACGAACTTAATTCGTTCCATGACTCTGGTCGCACCCCGAATT